CCTTTCCATCCCTTTCCACCATAATTGCTCTGGATTTATTTATTTATTTATGCATACCATATACTTCTCAACTTTTCCTTTTCTTTTTGCATTTCTTATTATGTGGATTATGGTTAGTTTTCTCAGCTGCTGTGTATTTTAATTTTTTACCTTATTTGTTTTATTTTTATTATTCTTTGCTGCCAGAGTTATTGTTGAGATGGGCAGATATATAAATCAAATAAATAAATAAACAATCACCTTACAATGTTTCTGCCAGAGTTTGTGCTCCTTTTTGTTTTCCTCATTAAGACACATTTTTCATTCCTTGAATTAAGCATTCTTAAGTTTTACAGCCTCCTGGACACAGCTAGAAAGCCACACTGGTCTCTTCCTGGATTTGGTTGGCCTTTCTTACCTTGTGGAGCACATTCTAGTGGGGCACATTTTTCATGGTGTTTAATAACTTCCTAAGAAGGGAGTTTGCTCTCTGGACCTTTCATTTCAGTCTCCTTATTTGCCAGTTTTTCCCTTAGTAGTAAAATGTGATTGTTAGAACCTGTTGGTGGTTTCCCATTGGCATGTATATTAAATTACATTATGATCCCTGTTTTTTATTGATTCCACAATAAGTACATCTCAAACTGGACCACTTTGGATTAAGTTTGGGGTTGCCTCCCCTCTGATTGGTTCCAAGACCAACTGTTCTAAGATACAATAATTTAAGATACCTAGAAATTTAGTTTGTCTTGGCGTGAGCATGATTGCACCCATCTATGTGAGAGTAGTTGAAATCACTTATTATTACATAAATTCTCTTTTGCATGTCTTCCTGGGGTTTTTTACACACCAAGATTGCCCTTAATATTTTGATCAGATAATAAATCCCTAGATTTAACTTATATATTACATAAATTCTCTTTTGCATGTCTTCCTGGGGTTTTTTTACACTTTTGCATGTCTTCCTGGGGTTTTTTACACACCAAGATTGCCCTTAATATTTTGATCAGATAATAAATCCCTAGATTTAACTTATATGCCACCCATAATGATTCTGTGGAAGGATGTAGACTTCTAATGTTTTCCAGGGTATTAGATGTTATAACTTCTTTGATATAATGATTCCCCCTGTGGGCTCTTCCCATTCTTTCTATAAAGTTTGTATTCAGGAATGATTATATACCACTGATTCTTTTCATTCTATGCAACTTTCTGTTACATCTACTATATTTATGTTTTTATTTGCAACCAAGTATTCTAATTCCAACATCCTGGCTGGAAGACTTATAGCATTGGTATAGAAACATCTGTATATCATGTTATTTTTCAAATGTTCTTGCCATGAGTCTTTCTCATTGTCTCAGTTTCATTTTCTGATTGATCTGACCACCCACTAACTCACTTCCAACAATGATGCTATCCCTTATTACAGGGATTTTCAAACATTGGGAGTTATGAGAAATTTGAGGAGGGTTATCTACTTCTGATATTTGTACATCCTTCTTTGCTTTGTGTTTTTAGCATACAGTATATACTGAGCGCATAATAGCAGTTTCCAATGCAGTACAATTTTGTATTACACATGCAGGAATGTAGCAGCATGGAGGTATAACAAAAAGCTAGATATAATCATTAATAATAATTCCCATTTGAACATGGTAAATGTTCTGTAGCACAAGAGAAACTCCAGTATTTGAATTAACTGGAAATATTATTGTAGCAGAAGTATAAATGATTATTAAGTACTGGGAACTGACCTTGTCTATGATACAACCAGGTCATCATTTTTTAAAATGGACATAATTTTTTAAAAAATCCATCTGTTCATCCAATGACCATCATTCTATTTTCTCCCTTTGTTACTGAGCTCACCAAAATAAGAATTGTCCTGATTCATCTTCACTGCAACCCTCTGGCCATGTTCATACCTGAGGAGCTGTTTGTTACATGGAAAGAGTCACAAAGCTATTCATAAGCAACCTTTGGCATTATGCTAAAGAACGGTAGTGGAGTATCTTGGCTCAACAGATCATCCTCCCTCAGGTTTGGACCCGGAACCACAAATTCCCTCCAGCCACATGGCTGGGACTTCTGGGAGGAGAAGTCCAAACACATTTGAGAGGGTCATCTTGGGGAAAGCCAAATTGTATTGTTTTCTCATATTGATCACTATTGGTATTAACTATAATAATAAATTGACAGGGGTGTCTGTATCAATGACATCAAAATAGCACATCTGGCTGTGCAATGGAAGCCCTGCTTTCTTTACTTGTGTGCACTGTGTGTGATGTACCTTAAAAGGGCAGGGCTTTGATCACCTGATTATGCCTGCCATTTTGATGTTGTTGACCCCCTCCATGGATGACCCTGCTTGTTGACATACTGCTTTGTATTCTAACACCTGCTGAAAACCGTTGTTTTCTCCAGCTTCCATTGCGGTGTTCTGACTACTAGGTCTGAATTCTAAGGATTAGCTAAGAGAGTTTGTTTGCATAGGACTGCATCAGAGGAGTTTTGCAAGCAACAGTGAAGATCATTCTGGCAGTCCCAAGTTGTTGAGGTTTTTTGTTCTTCTCTGTCCAAACCCACTGGAACTGATTATGCTTACAATGGGAGAAATTATGGATCAGCTGCTTTTTAGCAACCCTCTACTCTCTGAATTTAGGGAATTGCTGGGGTTCTGAGATGAGTTTGAAGATTCCCTCCCCTCTCTGTTTCCCCTGCCTTGCAATTTCCCATAGATTTTCTTTGAAAATGAAAAACCCGATTCATCTTTCTATCTTTGCTATGTATAAAGGACAAAAATCTATCACCATTCTTTCTAGTGGAGCCTGCTCTATTTTCCTGTCAAACACCCTTGCAAATAAGCTTGGAGATCTTTCAACACAATGCCTGAAGCAACTGTGCATGATAAATCCTTTCCTAGCTTCAGCTTTCTGTAACCTTTCCCATTCCTCACAATGACACAGGCTTTCTGTCATTCATCTTTTATTACAATTCAATATTGTGCTTGAATATAATTAGTTTGTATGCTGTGTTCCACTTTCCCCTACTCTTCTCCCCCCACTTTTTGAAAAAAAAAAATAGACAAACTAGTATCCCTGGGAAGATATGATCTGGAAATTGACTTCAGTGTTATACTCTCCTATATATATTTATACAACAGGCATAGAAAGAAGGAGGAGAGGGGCAGAAGAAACATTTTAACATCATAAACCTCTAGGAAAAATATGTATGTAATAGAATCTGGTTCTATGGTTCTGCACACATTACAGCTGTCACCGTGACTTACAGCCTTAGTTTAGCTGAAAGAAAATCTATAACCTTAGAAATGCAACAATGTCTGAGTCACAGTTCAGAGTAATAAATGTTCTCACACAATACTGTAATCCATATTTCCAATAGTATCCCAATACAACAAAGGTACTACTACTCAAAATATTTCCATTTCAGGGGGAGGTTGGTCTAAGACAGAGCCTGAATGAATCAAAGTACCTGGGAGGGGGGTAGGAAGAAATCTAAGGAGAAATGCTAAGTGATAAAGTACCCACATGTTCAGAAATATTAGCCAAGACATGTTTCTGGTTATGATTTCTGCTTCTGAATTACATCTTAATCAAGGTGACATCATTTAGCAAGGTACTTACTAAACGTAGTTGCTTATAAACGGCCTAACACTCTCAAATAGGGAGCTTTGCAGAATCATTTATTTGCATGTTTATTCAAGTGCACAGAGGTAGTTTAAAAAGGTGTGGTGCTTTGGGGGAACATAGAGTTTCTTCAGTAGGTGTCTAGTATTCTGTGAAGTCTTATTGCTGGAAGATACAAACAGGGCTTAATTCCATTATTAATCCCGTTCTAATTGGCCAGGGAGACAACAGTAGAAGTGTCTCAGCCACGGTAGGCTATCAGTGTTTATGAAACGTGCTCCCTATTGCCAGACTTTGAAGTGACTTTTGTAAGTTTGCTTCTTCAGTCATTCTTTCTCTCCAGCTATTCTTCTTGGAAGGCTTGGAGGATACAAACTAGATAGTTCAGTTAACATAGGTGTTACCGCAACAGATTAAATGGAGACAATGGGTATGCATGGGTTTATTCTGGGTTAAATTTAACTCCCTGGGGGTTAGTTTCCTGGGTCAGTTGAGCCATTTTTGGTTTTTCCACAATATACTAATCCCCTTCTCTATCTATTTAAACTTGTTGTGGAACAGGTTTAATATAAATAATCATCACCACAAGTATTTATCTCAAGGGAAAGCTAGATAAGTTGAGACAATTGCCCTTCCATTGTGCCCTGGGAGAACATGAGCAGGGATAAACGAGTGGAGCACCACATTGGCAATTTATACCCATAATGGCCCTTGATGCTTGGGAACACGTTGCCTAAGTCATATACTGTATATTTCTTCTCCAATACCCCCAATACAGGTCATAGTAGCTGAGTAACTAAGAAGCTCATCTATTATGACTTTTATTCACATGTAGTTGATTTTACATCTGTGTTGGCCTCATCTTAAATCTAATATAACTTGTCTCCTTGAAAAGCTGTATATATATCTGTCCTAAGATGACTTGGAGCAAAAGAATAAAATGTTTATTGTGTTTAAAAATCATGATCTGTCTGTCCTCTGTATTAAAGGAATGAAGAAGATTTATTATCCTGCAATATGTAAAGCCTGAGAATTCCAGTTAAATGCAGATGCTTCTAGCCTTCTTATTGGGCAAATTACAGTTACAGACAATTCTTTACTTATGAACTTTCGAGTTACAAACTTTTGCCGATACGAACAAACCTGTTCAGAACTCCAACTCAAACCTCTAACCTCCAGGAAGGTGGGAGAAGGCAGGAAAGGGTTGGTTTACAGAGTGCTGCATACGTATGCTTGGAAGGCTGAGTGTGCACCATTTTGGACGCTACTGTTTGCTGCTGTGTAGTGACTGTGAATTACAGTACGTTTGCAATTAAGCGGAAGAGTGATAATGGGGAAGAGGGTAGTGCTAAGAAGCATTAGTCCATCACAATGGAAATGAAGGTGGAGATATTAAAGAAAATAGACTGGGGGAAGAAGGTGGCCAACGTGGTACATGCTTATGGCATGAATCGTTTCATGATTGGAATGATCATTAAGAACAAAGAGAAGATCATGGAACATGTGAAAAGTTCAGTGCCTATACAATCAATGATAATAAGCAAGAGGAGAGGAAAAGTGATGGAAGAGCTGGAGAGACTGCTTGGCATGTGGATCGAAGATCAGCATCAGCGGCATGTGCTGCTTAGCCTAATGCTGATCCAGGAGAAGGCTAAGAGCTTATTCCATGACTTGCAATGGAAGACTAGTGAAGATGCTGCTGAGGAGACATTCGTTGCAAGTCATGGGTGGTTTGTGCACTTTAGGGCTCATGTGAACCTTCATAATGTGAAAGTGAGTGATGAGGCAGCAAGTGTGGGACAAAGATGCAGCCAAGGAGTTCCTGGAAATCCTCAAGGACATCATCGAGGAAGGTGGCTATTTGCCCCAGCAAATTTCAATGTGGCTGAAACAGGGCTTTATTGGAAGAAAATGCTGGACAGAACATACATCAGCAAGGAGGAGAAGACTATACCAGGCTTCAAAGCTGTGAAGGATACTAACTGTCCTACTTGGTGGCAATATTTCTGGTGACCTGACCCTAAAACTACTGCTAGTCTACCATTCTGAGAATGCACAAGCTCTCAAGAACATCGCAAAGGGCTCACTTCCTGTTGCGTAGAAGGCTAACCAGAAAGCTTGGGTCATCCTTCTCATCTTTGAAGACTGGTTCTTCCACCATTTCATCCTGGAAGTGGAGAGGTATTGCCATGAGAAAAACACCCCCTCCAAGAGTCTGCTAATTTTGGATAATGCCCCGGGTCATCCACCTTACTTGGAAGATTTCCATCCAGATGTGAAGGTTGGGTATCTGCCTCTGAACAGCACCTCCCTCCTTCAGCCAATGGACCAGGGGGTGATAGCAAACTTCAAGAAATACAGTAATACCTCGGTTCACAAACGCTTCTGTTCACGAACAATTCAGTTTGCGAACAGCAGCGTTTGCAAAATTTTGCTTCCGTTCGCGAACTCCGCATTGGGTGACGAACACGACCCGTGGCCATCTTCCCTGCTCTGACATGTGGTCGTGGCTTCCTCTAGGCGAGATCACGGTTGCAGACAGACACTTGCTGTGAAGCTTTTTGGTGTGCTTTTTAGCACATACAGTACA